GCCCACAGCCCCAACACTATGAAGTCAAGTTTTAACCTTCACAAACACCACATACTCTCTAGTTTAATGATCTAAAAAAAGGTTCATTGAAAAAAATTGTTTTATTGTTTGTTAGAGGAGAACTAAGGTGACTTTACAGTAGGGACACAGAGATCCAGAAAAAGTCAGATCCTTGCCTTCTCAAGATTACACAAAGTCTGAAATCCACAAATCTTGATTCCTTGTCCAAAAAAATGGACTTGCAGAAACTGCATGGGCTTTAGAATCAAACTCAATCATTAAGTTCAAATCCTCATTTTGCCATTTGCTAGTGAAACAGCTTGTCCACATGATACAATCCAAACAACCTACCCAAGCTTTTGGTTTCATCTGAAAAACGGAAATTACCACTTCCTCTTTAGAGCAGTTTAAAGAATCAAAAGCATAACAAATGGCACTGTGCCTGGCACAGAATAGGGACTCAATAAATAGCAATGTTTTAAGTTCCACTTTTTAATGAGCACCACTTCTGGGCCAGCCATTGTTTCAGGCATTTAGGACATGGCCACAAACTGACAATGTCCCTGTTGCTGTGCTGGTTAAGAAATTACAAGTAAAATAGATTATCAGCCAATTATATATGTATCTGCTTGCAAGGTTCTTTTTGCTTTTTTTTTTTTTTTTTTTTGAGATAGACTCCATGTTGCCAGGCTGGTCTTGAACTCTTGACCTCAAGCAGTCCACCCGCCTCGGCCTCCCAAAGTGTTGAGATTACAGGCGTGAGCCACTGTGCCTGGCCCCATTGGCAAGTTTTTGTTCTTATGGACATGATGTCCTTTTGTTGTCTCCATGGCCAGCATGTTTTCTAACACATACTGATTTTTTGGTTCCCCAAACCAACTTAAGAGCCAGGGCTGGCCAGGGATAGCCCTAATTCTGGCTACTGGGCTCTTTGTTGGTAAGAATGGGAGATATGCTGTATTCTGAAGAGATTTAGATGAGTGACACAGGTGCCTGTCCTTCAAGAATTCTCAGTCTACTAAAAATCAAGGTCATGGTGTGTAACACTTTCCGTTGCCAGATACTGGGCAAGGCACTGTACAATTTTCATTTAATCCTCACAACCTTCTCTTAAGGTGTAGTGGTTATTAAAATTGTTAAAAGAGGCTAGATGCGGTGGCTCATGCCTGTAATCCCAGCACTTTGGGAGGCCAAGGCAGGTGGATAACCTGAGGTCAGAAATTCGAGACGAACGACCAACCTGGCCAACATGGTGAACCCCATCTCTACTAAAAAATACAAAAAATTAGCTGGGCATGGTGGCGCAGGCCTATAATCCCAGCTACTTGGGAGGCTGAGGCAAGAGAACCACTTGAACCTGAGAGGTGGAGGTTGCAGTGAGCCGAGATCGTGCCACTGAACTCCATCCTGGGTGACAGAGCAAGAGTCTGTCTCAAAAAATAAAACAGTTAAAATAAAAACTTTAGACAAGTTAAATTTAACAAAGAAAGATTCATGAATTGGGCAGGCCCTACGACCAGGACAGGTTCAGTGAGACTCTGGAGTTGCCTTATGGCTGGATGTAACATTTGTGGACAGAAAAAGGCAAGTGGTGCATAAAAAAATTGAATTAAGGTACACAGACCTCACTTATTCTTGTTAAACTTATTTTGGGCATGTGCCTTATTTCAACAGCTGGCTGCCTGTGGTTGACTGAAGTTTGGCTGCTGTGATTGGCTGAGACTTGGCTACTTGTTACAAGAGAAGGTTCCAATTTGCTTACACCTTGATAGGTTACAGTTCCCTATGAATGGAGAAACTTTTAGGCCAAACTTAAGATATGTACAGAAGCAGCTTTAGTCAAAATTTAACATAATTAATTTTCAACATGATTTGTTGCACCTTTTAATACAGTCTCAAAAACAATTGAACTGAATTCTTCCAACAGATAAAATTCTTTTGAACAGCTTAAACATTCAGTAAGGAAGAAGCGTGAATAAATTTTGTCAAGTACTCTTGCTCTGGGATTTAAGGATTCTAATGCCAAAGGTGACGGGGATTTCTTTTTTAAAGAACTGAACTCTAAGTTTCCTGTTTATACTTATCAAAAAATTGTGAAGAGCCTCTACTTACAGCATCAATAGGCAAAAGACCAAATACCTTGGACGCCGTTCCTAACACCCAACTGATTGGGATGACATGAAAAACAGGTTTTGGTTTCTTCTCAAAGGGTTATAATTATCTTTAAACCCCAGGCTGGGTCACGTTTCAACACCTGCAATGGCTTCTCTTGTAGTCACAAGGTGAACCTTTACCGTGGTATTGAAGATTTCTTGCAACTTGGTTCCGACATATGATTCTCACACATTCTTTCAGGCACCCTATCAGCCACTCAAGGTCCTTATCCGTTGCTTGAACTGTTCATCTGGGCCGTCTTCACCTCTGTGGTTTTGCTAATATCTCCAAGTGAAATGTTCCCCTCACCCATTTCTGCTCATCTCTCATTCCAGATACCATGGCCTCCTCTGTTGAGCCTTTCTTGATTGCTCTGTCGGAATTGCTCCCTCTTCACTCGCAGACAACATGGCTTCTGCCTCTTAGTAGAATGAAATACCACATGTATTTCATTCTACTAAGTTCCTTTTTCTTTGGCTTAGCACACCTCCACAGTCCAGTCTTGTATACAGTGACTCTCGAATGCTGCTAGCTAAATAGGAGGCACCAGCTGCTGCTGTCACCTCTGCACATGCTCCTCCTCCTCAGCCCGCAGGGCCTCTGGCGGCGGGACATCTATTTGACCACCAAGCCTTGAAATCCAGGGCTGGAGGAAAGCTCAAGTGGTGTCCCAAACTTGGTCCAGAGCCCCCCTAAGGCAAATTGGAGGCAAAAGATGGTCTAGTATGATCTGACACTAGGAACACTATCAATCCTTTTTTCACTTCTCATTGGACCTATTTTTTAAGTTTTTGATGTATTAAAAAAATACACAAACACATTCTCTTTAAAGAGATTCATACTTTATAGGAGCCAAGAATGAAAGTGCTGCTTAACCACTGTTCCTCCCTCTTCCTTCACAAAATAACTGGGGACAGTTTAATGCAAAGTTTTTATACATCCACATGCATATATTTATACAAATATACATATTCTCAACATAAATGGGAGACTATATTGCTCTACGATTGTTTTTTTTTTTTTTTTTTTTTTTTTTGAGACGGAGTTTCACTCTTGTTACCCAGGCTGGAGTGCAATGGCACGATCTCGGCTCACCGCAACCTCCGCCTCCTGGGTTCAGGCAATTCTCCTGCCTCAGCCTCCCGAGTAGCTGGGATTACAGGCACGCGCCACCATGCCCAGCTAATTTTTTGTAGTTTTAGTAGAGACAGGGTTTCACCATGTTGACCAGGATGGTCTCGATCTCTTGACCTCGTGATCCACCCGCCTCGGCCTCCCAAAGTGCTGGGATTACAAGCGTGAGCCACCGCGCCCGGCCTACAATTGGTTTTTTAAATCTTAATGCACTGGTTATACAGGAGGCTGAACGATTTTCTGGTATGCTTGTTGGTCATTTATTTCTCTGTGAGCTCTCTGTTCATAACCATTGCCTGTCTTTTCTATTGGGCTGTTACCAATAGAAAAGATGATTATTGATTTGTACTCTTATTGTGGACACTCATCTTTTGTTACATGTTACATGGACCTATTTTCCATTGCATTAATTTACTATTTCCCGACATTAATTTTGGGCAAGCCATTTAACCCAAGCTTCAGTGTCCTTACCTAGACAATGAGGATATCTGCTGCATAAGACTGCAGGAAGAATTGACTGATAAAAACTGAATGATGCCTGGCACTCAGTAAGTACTCAAACGTTAGCTATTCTTCACTACAGACTTGGGGTTACAAGTTGGCTAAATGTTTAGTGTGGCCCACAGGATTTAAATATATTTGAACCCTTGAGGTGAAGCATGCATTTTCTAGGTGGACATACCTTCCTCTGCCTCGCCAATCTGTTTTCTACACCACAGCTTCTCAGATTTATGTCATCTGCCTCCCACTCTCCGAAGTTTTCTTTTTTTGAGACAGAGTCTCGCTCTGCCACTTAGACTGGAGTGCGGTGGTGCAATCACAGCTAACTGTGATCTCAAACTCCTGGGCTCAAGTGATGCTACTACCTCAGCCTCCCGTGTAGCTGGGACTATAGGCGAGTGCCACCATGCCCAACTAAATTTATTTTTTGTAGAGATGGGGTCTCACTGTGTTGCCCAGGTTGGTATCAAACTCCTGACCTCAAGTAATCCTCCAACCCTGGCCTCTCAAAGTACTCGGATTACAGGTTTGGGAACCATTATGCCCAGTACATGTACTGAATGCCAGTACATTATGCCCAATGTACTGGCATTCAGTAAGTCTCCAAAGTTTATAATGGACAAAAATAAAGCAGGCTTTGAAATTATGTGTTGCCTATTATCGTGGCAGCTCTATGTGTCCTTTATGCACTGCACAACTCCCGGATGTTGTTCACAGTATATCACACTTCTGAAGCCCCCTGGGGTTGGGCAATATACAACCTGCACATCTGTACATGGCAACCTGGCTCATATTTTAAGAAGTTTAAGTGAAATTTTCGAAGATTTCACAAGATGTATCCTTTGCTCTCACAGCATCCACCTGTAGGATCAAGTTGGGTGGTGTGATATTACTAGTTTATAGATGGGGCAAGAGGCACAGAGCTAGCAAGCCAGAAGTGGGGCTAAAGCTCTCAATGTTCAGACTGGGGCTGTGAAGGACTGAGTCATCATGTCTCTGCTTGGTACCTGGTCAAAGGCAAGTTTAGGACTTCAGGATTTCAAGAGGCCTTCCAGAGATCATCAGGAAAAAGTCCTAACAGAAATTACTACTTCTATAACAAAACCAACCACAGGTGGCATTAGTCTGGATAATAACTCATTATATGCAAGTAAAACTCTTTATGTTAAATGTTTCAAAAATAAAGAGCAAAACAAACCCAAGTCTGACCACCAGGTTAATAGCTGAGGTCTTTATTTCAATTTGTATATACAGTAAAAGTGCTGCTGAGAACCTGCAGCGACCAGACAGAACATAAATTTAAATCTCTCTCAACAATTAGCAGCTTAAGATCTATCAACTACAGTGTTAACGTTCCACACGTTCACAAGTATCATTTCTTTACGTTTCAATTCGTGCAAGTGAGTTTTTATTCTTACACACTTTTGATAAAACACACTTACAGTCTAGTAGTCAATCCCTACTGAGGATATCACCTAGCATACACGACACACAGACAGAAATGTTAACTCTTAGAGCCACATTCAAAATCCCAGGTTTCTTGGGGTGGGTGTATGGGAACCATAATTTTGCCTGTGTCAGATTACAATAATGTTTGTTTTTGTTTTGGATGTGTATTTTCCAAAGCTGAAAGACAGCTCCTTACTGGAACTCTCTCAGAACTCAGCATTTCATCTGACTGTGCCTCAAAGGAACATGAAATCAAAAACAAAACCAAATGTAGTGAAGACCACATGAAAACATGCTCATTATCTGAACATGGCTAGTGAGGAAGGCTTACTCCCAGTGTTTTTCTTGGCATCAGACTTTTACTCCATTTAGAACAGGGGAGAGAGAAGACCCCAGTCAGTGAAGTATAAAATTTAACCTACTTTTGCTTCTTAAGGAGCCAGTAGAGTGGAAAGCCTTCCTTACTAGGACATACTGAGTATACCAAGAAATGGAAATTGGAGCAGACAGAAGTACCCTTCAATTATCATAAACAATGATTGGAGCAGACAGAAGTATCCTTAAATTATCATAAACAATGTAAAATGTGCATTCTACAACCTGAACAGTCACCCAGGCTAACACAGCCAGCTTCACTCACCCAGGCTAGGGGCATGGACAAATAATCCAGGAATGCTTCATTTTAAAGGGAATGAACATAATTTTTTTTTAGAGAGGAGCATTCAAATGAGGGGAAGTTTCCACCCAGAACAACTGTTAAACCATTAGAGCCAGGTTATAGAACAGCTCTGAAAAGACAAACCCAAGAACAACCACAATGCAAAGAAACTCAAACGTAACAGGATGGGCAGCAAAAGGTACAAGGAAGGTATGAAAACAGATGCATGGTTACAAACAGCATTAAATGCACACAACTACTGGGTATGGTGAATAATCAAGGTACAAGAGAGCTGGAAAGCCATTACTGTACCTGATTTACACCGAAGGTCCTCCCTAAGACAGTTTGAGAAAGGAAGAGAGAAAGTCAGCTTGGGACTGTTTGACTGGAGCTCAGGGGGCTTTCTATAGGTGAAAACCTTCCTTTGATAGAAACTGTCCCAAGGCAAATGGGAAAAGTTGCAATCTATCTATCACAGTGACTTCCAGTGCCCACAAAACTTAGTCTTCAGGCAGTTTGGGGGACTTAAAGGTTCTAGCTTAGAAAAACTGGTGGACTGCTAGGGCATCTTTTAAATAACTTTGTGTGGGCTCTCTACTCTGAGCAATTATGCCAAAGTAGAAAGTTAGGGGAAACTGTTAGTTCAAAAGTTCAGTGTCCTTTGGGACCCCTGCCTAAAAAGTCACTGCCATATTTTTAGGCAAAGTTAACATTTTAAATATATAGGATTGGGGACAATTTGTTTTTGGCATGAACATGAATTGGTTCTAATTATTTTTTTAAAAGAAAAAAAATCACCCCTTTGGCCCTACACTGGGTGCTAGTTTTGAGGGGCAACAGAGCTAGCAGATGTACCACAATCAACTGAGGTTGGGGTGAAGACTGGGGTACCTGAGTTAAAATATCAAAGTAGTTATGGAAACAACATGCTGGCTCTGAGAAATCCAGCTTGCCAAAGCAAAAGGAGGCTGGCACCATTAGATAAACTGTCCTTTCAGACAGGCAGGGCAATGCTAATCTAGTTCTGAAGGAATTTCCTGGTAGGGGAAACAGGCAAAGCATACTTTGCTACCCTTTTCAGGGCATCTTATATGTACTTTGTTGCACAGAATGAGGCCAAGAGGGAACAGCATTTGTGTCCCAATACTACAAATAATATGGAAAGATTAACCAAGCTCTCTAGATAAACTGTAAATGTTCAAGTTCCACCAGGATGATGGAACTGGTTATAGGATGGGGGAAGGCAGCTCATTTCATTTTTCTAAACCACCTATAAAAGTCCACTGAGCATAATTAGGTTAGGTTAACAAGTCAGTTTACATTAATAGGAAGCTGGCAACATTTTACACCCAAAACTTGGGTTCTTCTAATCTGACATTTCCTTCACTGCTCTTTAGGAGAATCACCTGGTTGATTCTCTTAGGCAGACAGAATAAAGCTTTGAAATTAAGAATGCTGGGGCCAAAATGAAGACAGAGACTCCATATCACTTTGGTTTCAGTAATTAGGGGGTGTTAAAAAAATAAATTAAGGAAACACAAGGACTTGTTTATGACTTACAGTCTCAACTTTTCCTAAAGACAACTCCAGTCCAAGATCACTGGGTGAACATTTTCTTGGGGCAAAAAAAAAAAATCCCTATCCTAGTACACTGGTTTGTGGAAACAGCCTCCCCCTCTCCTTGCACAACCCTTTCCTCTCCAACCAAGCCAAACCCATAAAACCGGGATGTGGGGATGTCCGGACAACAAAAAGCAGCAGCAGCAGCAGCGGCAGCAGCAGCAGCGGCAGCTAGAGGGAGTTTAAACTGCATCTCAAAACAAGGGCGGCAGAGGGCAGCATTTACAGCAAGACTTTCTTACTCAAACTGTTTCAAGACAAAGGGAGCAGCACACTTAAATATCCACACATTTCTTCATTTAAAAACATCACTTCTTTATTTCAAAGGAAAATAAAAGACCCTCCCAACCCTGTCCAAAAAAACCCAATAATAATAATAACAATAATAAAAAATCCTATTAGAAACCATAAGGAAGCACTGAGAGTTTGAGTATTACATTCTTCAAGTATGCTGTTTGGATGTTTTATTTTTAGGTTGTTAACTATACACATATTAAAAAAACCCTTAAAAGTGCGGCCAAGGGATTTTGCTTAAAATTAAGTATTTAGAGGGCTACTTAAAAATACTGTAGTAGGACTGTGCAGTGATCCTTTGGGGGATGATGCTTTCACTTTTGTATCCTAGCAAAGGTTAAGGGGCAGGTTCAAAAGGGATCATACTTCCAAGGGTAGCTTAAGTGGCCAACTTGGGTGAGAAAGCCAGGGAGATCCATGTGTTCTTCCACGGACAAGGAAAATCCACCCTGAATCCAAAAATTCAGACATGGAATGTGGTAGGATTTCACAGTAAAGTTAGTCTGGGATGGGGAGAGGTGATGAGCCCAGACAAGGCAGGGTGCTAGGTTTAACTGGTTTGCCCTAATCAGGTTTTCGTATCTTTTTAGTGGGTTTTAGTGCAGTCCTTCAAGCCACAATTTAGATTGCCCTTCAGTGTGCTCTAGATTGTTGGTTCATATTAAAGGACTGTTTAAGAGTTGCATCCCAAGGAAAATCATGCTACATAAAAATGATCCAAGATTTTCGCCCAAAAAACTTCTTGGATAAAATCTAAAAAATACTATTGCAATTGCGTCTCTTGAAGAAAAAAACATTATTCTAAATGTAAACAGATTCACTCAACTCTTTTGTTGTTGTAGAAAACTTCAGAGTAGGTAAGTTGCTGTCTAACTCTCTGCTGCATGCACTCGCCAGAGGGTAGGGAATAATGCCTTCTGTGCCAGCATCATCTAGGAGATGAAAAGAACCGTTCCACATAGCTGAAGAGGGCGTCCCAGTGCTTCCAGAGAAAGGCAATGAAAACCACAAGGAATAAAGTGCTGAACGTCCTGTTGCGAGTCTTCATGAGGGGGACCACACAGTTGGCTACAGTGGAGACAAAGACTAAAAGGACTGCCATGACAGCCAGGAGGATGTTGATGAGTTTGCCTAGAAGGTTCCGGGCAGTGGCATTCTCCAGCCCTTCTAGCTGCACCACCTGCTGCTGCTGCTGCTGCAGCTCCATCTTGGAGATGCGAGTCTGGCATGCCTCCAGGGCCTCCTGTGGGCCAGAACAGGGAAGAGTTAAGTTCTTTTCACAAGTACTCTGAGTTGCTGACATGGCCCCTGGGCAAGCCAGATGCATCTTGAGCAATGCCAATGATTTTATAAATATGCTGGAGCCTTGAATGTAAAAGGTTAGATGGATAATTCACTATTCAAGTGACTATTATTCCCCCAAATTGCCTTCCATTGCCTTCTTGTGTGAGGAGTCACAGGAAGCAGTGGCCACACTTAACATTTATTTAGTCTAGAACATTTTAATGACAAGACCACAAATACATGATTTCTCTTTTTTCATTGAAAAATTATTACTCTAAGTTCCACAGGACAAATATATTTGTTCAACATACAAAATTTCAAATAGGATAGTCTCTATTGACATTTCCTTCAATTCCAATCCCTGTCCCTGAGGCTAATACTGTTTGTTTTATGTTCACCCTTTTATCTGTGTTTAAGTGTATACATATATGTGTCAAGGAAAATATATGGAATTATTATTTTTATTTCCTATCTGTAAACTAAAGGAAAAATCGTAAGTCCCCAAGCTGAACGAACGGACTCTCTAAAAGGGGACCCTAAAGAAGCCTGAAAAAGTGAGTTCTTGGCAACGACGGGAAAGAGGCTGGACATGTCTCATATTCCCACCCTTTTGGAGTTTAGGCACAAATAACCAGCATTAAGGCTAAAATAGAGATCACAAGACTGACAGAATGGACTCTTTGTGGCAGTAAGATACCACATTATAAACTAGACCTAAGGCCATGCCAGACAAGGGTTAAGTCACACCCTTAAGTCACAAACCATAACATCTCATTAAATTAGTTTTAAAAAAATTAACCCGGTATTAATGTGGCATTCTTTCCAGCCTGACTCAGGTTGGAAAGCATCATATGAAAGAGAGCAGACCCCATTAACTCAGGCATTTCTTTGTACTAACTTCAAATCTTTACACAAAGCTTAACTCTTTCAACCAACTGCCAACTAAAAAATTCCTAAAACCCACTATGACTTGATAGCCCCTACTTAGAGATGTCCCACCATCTTGGGCCAAACCAATGTATACTTTCCATTTGTGTTGATTCAGGATTTTACCTACAATTCCTGTCTCCCTGAAATGTATGAAGCCAAACTGTAATCCAATTGCCTCCGGTGTACTTTCTCAGGACCTCTTGAGACTATGTTCTCCAGGCCATGGTTACTTATATTGGCTCAGAATAAACCTCTTTAAAATATTTTACACGGCTTGGCTTTTCCAAACATGAATAGTATCATACTATAGGAATCGATTCACAACTTGGTTTTTTCATTCAACAGTGGGTCTTGGTGATCTCTCCATGTCAATACGCAGACTATACCTCATTCTTTTTAACTGCTGCATAGCATTTTATGGTATGGCTAGGCTATGTCATAGTTTATGCAGCTAGTTCCCTCTTGGGGATTTTTAGGTTGTCTTCAACTTTTCCACTATAACAAGGATGCAGTGAACAGCCTTTGAACATGTTTCCTTATATACACTACCTGGTGTTTTCTAAGTCAAGTCAATCCCTGACATCAGTGGAAAGGGATCTCTGACCTGCCTTCTTGAAAAGGGCACACTCTCCTTTAGGTTGATCCTCTGTAAAGAGGATATTATGCCTACACACTAGACCAAACATTAAAAATGTCTGTTCTCCTCAAGGCCATGGCCTTTGCCCATGAGTTTAAATTAATTCCACCGAAGTATTCAGGGGATAGAACCTATTTCCTTAGCTATGGTCCTCCAAAGTTGGTTGGAGCCCTGAGTTTTTCTGGTCCTGGTTTCAATGGGTCCTGGTTTCCTGGGATTTGAGGTAAGGCTTGGGCAACTTCAGACTGAAGTCAGCTAGAGAATGGACAGACAATGGATGCTGTCTAGTCCAGAAGGTTCTTAGGGAAAAAAATAATTAAAACATAAACAGGGCCTGAAGAAGACGGCATCTGGGTAAATGATCTAGATAATTCCTTTGATTCTTTTAGGCTGTTGTAATACAAGTTTTCTGGCTTGCTTCCCTTCTCTGAGAATAGCGTCTTCCAAAATGCCTTCATAGGAAATACTAAGAACTGTTTCCTTAGAAATATCTCCCTATAGAAATAAGAAAAAATTAAATATCTACTTCCTCATAGAATAAAACAGACAAACTATTAGCCTTAATTAAACATTATTGCCTCATGGGTTATTCTTGCAAACTGTCTGGTAATATGCCTATACGAGATTTGGATTTGGCAGCTGGGATAAAAGCCCCTTTCCCACAGAAGGTGAAGACAAGGGCAAAATGGCCCTAACATTTGTCAGAGCTGCTTTTGAGGCAGTAATGGACAAATAGGATGCAGTTGGTTTAGCATACACTGAGACTACTGTGATCCTAAGAAACATTTCCCAAGGGCCAAGCAGGCATATCAACCCAAAGTGGTATAAACTTTTGAGAAATGCACATCAATCCTTTTAAGAGTAGGTGTACTCTTATATGGTTAGTATAAAAGCTTTTCTTTGTACTCACCTTCTCATTTTTCCTTCCTCTATTTTCTTTTTTTCTTTCAAACCCTACACTATTTTGCATTTACACCTTTTCCTTCATACTAACCTGGATGTCCCGAGCCCGTTCATAGGACTGATATGCGATTTTTTCTTCCATGCTTGCCAATTCCTGCTTCAAGTTCAAGATTTCATTCTGGTGGAGCTCTGTTAGGTCATTTAGCTGTTCTTCTAATCGTTCACATCTAAGGAGAAAAGGTTGGAATTTTACGCATTCTGCGAATATCTTTCCTGATATTCTTTACATCCAATCCCTAAAACCCATTCTGCAAAGGGAGAAAATAAAAGCACAAAGAAATTGCGTGGCCTGGGTTAACAGGGTGTACCAGTGGGTACAGCTTTTAGTCTCTGGAAAAGATAGCTTGTTTCAGAGCCAAATCACACAGCAACATGGCTTTTCCACAACGTTTTCTATGCACAGTATTGCAGCAATGCCAGCAGCCCCTGATTAACTGAGCATAACCATAATATTGAGGCAGTTGTTAGGCTACTCTAAACAACATATGTGAGAGGCAAAAGCTAGGGTACAATTAAGAAAGCCTCATGAAAAGATAACATACAAATGGAAACTGAACTTCTGGCAGTCACCAGTAGCTTATTCCAGAACTGGTCAGCTCACTCGCCTGGATGTTTGTGATTCAGAGCCTTAGAATGCCAGAGCCAGAGAGGCCCATCATCCCCATGGCCAAGCACAGTGTCTGGGATATTTCTGTCAACAAATATTTACTGAGAGCCTGCTGTGTGCCAGGCATGTTCAAAGTACTGGGAATATTGTGGTAAGCAAGACAGGGTGACTGCCCTGAGGAGTTCATACCCTAAGGAGTGGGGGAGACAAGATGATTTCACGTATGGAGAAGAAAAACAAAGAAGATCAACAGGTGTATATGACAGAGTGCCTGATGGCTAGTGAAGCTGGGATGGTCAGGGAAGGTCTCTTCCTAGTTCAATTCTATTAAACAATGAAGCCTGAAACCTGAGTGATACAAACTGAGCCTTGTGAAAATGTGGAGGGAAGAATGTCTTAAGCAGAGGAAATAGCGGGTATGAGGGTCTTAAGATGGGAATTAGCTTGGCATGTCTGAGGGATAGAAAATAGGTCAGTGTGGCTGTAGTTGAGTAAAAAACAGGGAGAATAAAGGGATATAGGGTTCCTTGGGAGTAGGAATTATTTTATTCGTATTGTATCTATAGCACTTAGGACCACATAAGGGAAGGTTTACTCTACATAAAGATGGAACTTGGACAAGGCATCTAAGGAGAGGCAGGATTAGAAAAGGTTTAAAGGATGAGATCAGAGATTCTAGGGGAAAAATGAATGTGAGTAAAGGGCTGGAGAGAAATGGATGATAAATGTACAGAATAACTAGAATAGTGGATCTATGTTGGAGAATAAAGGAAAATCTGGAAGATGAAAAGAGTTGGGATTCTAGAATAGATAGTAAATGAGCCCAAGGCAGACTCCTGAGTAGAGGAGCCATGTGATAAACACGTGTTTTTAGGAAAATGAGTCTTCTCATAGTGGTGAAGATGATAGACTGGGGTAGGTTGTATGTGGAGTCCCAGGAACTACAGTAGGAAGGAGAAAGGTTATAGACTCCACATGTAAAAACACTAGAAACAGAGAGGAAAAGAAAGAATAAACACATTGTCTAGCCTCTGGTGCCTAGAATGGAAACCTCTCTGTCCAGCAGAGGGCAGCTCTTGTCCCAACAGGGAATGTACTATCATTCAGACAGCACATACTTAGCACCAGCATGTGAGTCTCAAGAGGTAATTATTATGTTGCAGCATCATAAACACTCTCCCTTCCAATAATTATGTAATAAATAATAATATCCTAAACTCCACTGCTTTTCTAAGAAACAAGGGTATTTTTTTAAAAGGCATCATCTGATCCTTTTTACCATATTACTGAATCCTATTTAGTTCTTCTTTATCCTTGATACGAATTTCTACATTGCCTTCTTTTATGCTGAAACTCTTCCTGTTACTGAAGTGACTGAACAGACTAATGAGAAAGCAGTCCTACCTTTGATTGGTAACTAGGCCCAAAGTTCTCTGTGACTCTGCCTTTTCCTTTCATCTGCTGCCCAAGGTATGTGCTCAGAAACAGGTCATATCTCTAGAATTGATTTTCCACCAAATTTTAAGTTCATAAAATGCCAGAAGATTATGTTAAAATAATATCTTTTCGTGACTGTCCTATATTAGCCCACTGTTCTGTAGTGTTTTTGGTGATGGATAATTTCATCATTCTCTCTTTTTACCAGAGAGGAGCTAGAGACTTTTTTAAAGTGGCATTTTTTAAAGGTGGTATCTGGCAGCAAATTACTCTCCTAAACTGACTGTTGAGTGGCAGGGAGGGGAGCAGGGTGGTGGTCACCAGCCTGCATTCTGATGAAAGCAGACACATATGACATCTCTGCATGTGTCCCATAGGCTACCACACAACCTCTTAGCCCACAAATTTTAGGCCTCTTAGGAATCTTATTTGATATTAAACATGGCTCATACATACCAGTAGAATAGATTAAAAAACAACAGCATCAGCAACAATTTAATCAGTGCCTACTATGCAAACTCATTTCAAGAACCCCAAGAGGGTAGAAGGTATTATCTACATTTTATAGATGAGGAAACAGAAGGTCAGAGAAGTTCTAAAGTGAACTGCCCAAGGGCACATAAATATTAAGTAGGGCAGGAAGGATTTGAATCCAGTTATGACTTTAAAATCCCAATTCTCAAACTCTACAACGTAATGCCATTTTAAAATTAAAGAAGCCCAGATCAACTAACTCTCTTCATAAGTAAGAAATCTGAGTCAGAGTGCTGGAGATACAAATCACTTAGCCAAAGGGAGCTGAAATGACCTACACTTATGTGATGGTTTGGAGTTTGATGTCAAAGTGGAGTTGACAGGAGAAGGAGGAGTGTAATAAAAAGATTCTGAACCAATAATTAAAAGATAAGAGTTGGTGAGGGCATAGAGAAATCTGAACCCTCATACACTGCTATTGGGAATGGAAAATGGTACAACTGCTCTGAAAACAGTTTGGCACCTCCTCAAAAAGTTAACAGTTACCATATGACTCAGCAATTCTACTCCAGATATAACTGAAAAGAAATGAACACTTATTTCTATATAAAAGCTTGTACACAAATGTTCATACCAGCATTAATTATCATAGCCAAAAAGTATAAACAACCCAAAAATGAAGACAACAGAATACAAGGCATGCTTATCTTCACAAATAGCAGGAGGCAAGAAGCAGGCTGAATTCAAAATGATCTTGACAGACTCAAGTGCAGCCAAGACTTTACCTGGGATTAATTCTACAGAAATAGGGAACTACTTCCTACTGCTGAATTCAGATATCAGAGGTCATGTAATGAGGGTGTAGCTTGTTCTTTGTAACGCCATAGAACTAAGGAGCAAGTCTTACAAACAGTGGTCTTTAGCTCAGTTTTAGAACAAACTTTCTAATAGCTGTGTCTATCTAACAACGAAAAAAAATATCTTCAAGAAAATGAGACCCTGCCACCATTGATATTCAAGGAGAGGCTGCTTGTCAGGGATGCTGCAGAAATAAATCCTCTATTTAAAGAGATTTAACTAGACGCCTAAGATCTTTTCTAACCCCTAGTTTGATTCTTGTAGTCAGGGAACCTGTTTTCCTTTTTTTTAAAAAAAAAAAAAAAAGAAATGGGGTCTTGATCTGTTACCCAGGGTGGAGTGCAGTGGTGCAATCATGGCTCACTACAATCTCAAATTCCTGGGCTCAAGGGATCCTCCCACCTTCAGCTTTCTGAGTAGCTGGGACTACTGACATGCACCAACATGCCTGGCTAATTTTATTATTTATTTATTTATTTATTTTTAGAGAAAGGGTCTTACTTTGTTGCCCAGTCTGGTCTTGAACTCCTGGGCTCAAGCAATCCTCTTACCTCGGCTTCACAAAGTGCTGGGACTACAGGTGTGGGCCACCTTACCTGGCTATTTTCATCTTTCAAGCTATAGATACTTAAAATGTTTGTGGCATATTTGCCTTCACAACATATTGATTTTAGCAACAACAAATGGGGGTAAGGAGGTACACAACATAGTAGTGGTAATTTAAGAGTTATGTAAAATCAAGTGTGAAATACTGGGGTTCATTTGGTATGTGAGCTGGTGATAAATATATATGCATCAGAGAGTACTTGCAAAAGTCCTCAGCACTTCTTCTCAACACTTTTGAACCTTACTATAAACCAATGTTTATCATAAGAAGGCTGCAAACATGGCAGATTCTGGAAGTCATTTTCTTTCTTTTTTTTTTTAAGTGGAGTCTCAGTCTGTCACCAGGCTCGAGTGCAGTGGCATGATCTCGGCTCACTGCAACCTCTGCCTGCCAGGTTTCAAGTGATTCCCTTGCCTCAGCCTCCCAAGTAACTGGGACTACAGGCGCACGCCACCACACCCGGCTAAGTTTTTGTATTTTAGTAGAGATGGGTTTTCATCATGTTGGCCAGGATGGCCTCGATCTCCTGACCTCATGATCCGCCCACCTCAGCCTCCCAAAGTACTGGGATTACAGGCCCGAGGCACCGCACCCGGCCTGGAAGTAATTTTCAATCTAGATTTGGTTCATCCCATATCGTATCTAGAGGTGCTCCATCTTCACTCCTGCCATTTTGTGCCTAGAATGTTTCATAGTGCAGTTTGTACCAGGTAATGCATCTGCTTAGTCCAGGTTTTGGATTAAAAGCCACAGCTCTGCAACTCACTAGCCTGGGTGATCCTGTTCATCCATCTGTAAAGAGGAAATCTACCTACTCCAAAGGGCAATTGTAAAGATTAAAGGAGAAGACAGATATCAAATACCTGGCACAGAAGAGGTGCTCTGTGAGATAGATAGATCACAAATATACATTTAGTTTCATTTTTCTCTTCTGTGATTCTCCTAGTTCTCCCCAACAATCCCTAATGAGGTAGTTCAAAAAGAGTGCTTGTTGACTGCCACATGGTCTTACTGCACTGTTCACTGATTCCCACTTCCTTTTTCTCTAAGTCTTTTTTGTTGTTGTTGTTTGAGACAGGGTTTTCTCTGTCACCCAGGCTGGACCACAGTGGTGTGATCATGGCTCACTGTGGTCTCAATCTCCCAGGCTCTAGTGACCCTCCCACCTCAGCCTCCCAAGTAGC